TGAAACCGCAACCGGCAAACGTGAAAAATGGCGGGAAAAAAGGTGACATAGGTCACTTTTGCCGCTCACGTTTTACGTAAACGCGGTGCTAAATATGTCTATTGTCTCGGACGCATCCCCAGTCGAGTGAAGTCACCAACTTGTCACCGTTGCTGTTTGCAGTTCAGATATTCCTTTCGCTAGATAGAAATTGTTCCTAGATAAAAAATAACATAATTTCTCACAAGCCTATGGGCATGTAGTTGTGCGCAATTCTCAATGCCTGTCCCAGTGTCCTTAGATATGTTATGTCGCGTCTTTGGCGTTGAAGTAACAAAAAATTACAATAACAATAGTTAAGCCAAAACATTTCGCACTCATTTCTGAGTTCAGTTTATTTAAGAAACTGTTCTCTAAAGTTGATCAACCAGAGGACTTTTAATTTCTCTGTCCAAAACTTTCAAAAAAACAAAAGCCACACATTACAAATCCGTTCCAACATTGGAAACATTGCATTATGTCTGTGTGGAGCGGGAATTTTTATAGCTTTTTTACTCTGCAAATACAGACGAAATTAAAGAATTCTCTTTTTGACCAAAAAAATTGTTTACTTACAGTACCTGTACAATATTCACAATAGTGTATACCTCTAAAATCTACAATCTTGGTAAAAACGTCTGAGGCACTATAGCTTCACCTTGTAAATGGCAAAACATGTACTCACCCCTCCCGCCCTGGACAATGTTTGAACACAGATGGTGTGAGTTGGGGAAGGGAAAGAGGGAGGGAATAATGTTTTCGTGGATGGAATATGAAGGCAAGTTGCTCACGAAACACGGGACGGACTCATAAAAAGGGATGTGTGTTTCTCCAAACGTTTTGGCCAGGATTGTTAGCACATTAAGCTAAAAACTGTCTTTTTTACCTTTCTTTGATGACCACACTAATTACAAAACACATCTTGCGGTTGAGAAAATATTTGGTCGCTAATGCCCTTAATTTACAAGAATCTTTGAATATGAAGGGGCTCTTTTAGGCCTCCATCAAAAAAGAAAAGTTTCTAAATTTTTTTTGTGTGAACTGTTCGTACAACCAACTTCCAAAGAATTTCTCAAACACGAGGTTCACAGACTGCAGAGAATGAAATCCATCAATCATTCCATCAATCAATCAATCAATTCCAATTATTAAAACATACAAAATTGACATGGTAAAGATAAGGCTCTCAATGGAATTTTTTGTTAAGCTATACTGTGTCCTGTATTAAAACTCTTAGAGATTTTCCTCAGTAGGGCAGATCCTTCCCTGCAAAACGATAACAAAGTGCGCAGTTATTTAGCAGTCGCATATAAAAACATGTTATAGCAATTAGCAATGAGATTATTCGCTCCACTGAGATTTGTATGCGTGTTACCTGTTGTGGGCTTCGCGCGGAAATCGAAAGTAGAAAATCTTATTGATTCAGTTTATGACATCAAGACAACCTCATGCTTTTATTTCGTTTTGTTTACAACCGCGCACCGTTGGGCTACTCACGTCTATGGCGGAATTTACTTCGAGTATCTAGCCAATCAGATTGCAGCATTTGCGATAGAACGCAAGCAGATTTATTTAAAAAGTAATATGTAGGAAGCTTATTAAAGGTAGAGGAGTTCGATAATTTTCAGCATAAGCCTCCTTTCGTAAAGTTAAATTCGTCTTAGACTCGTAGCAGCAACGCTAGCACCACCGAAAATAAGCATCGTGTATTACTAGCGTGGAAAATAAACTTACTTTTGCCTGGTGGATCCACGTAAGGTGCCATACTTGTTCCTCAAGAGAGGTTCAAGTTGTTCGGTAAGCTGTGTGTAATTCCTTTCCAGTTCTTTCTGATAGGCTCGTTGGTCAGATGCGATAAGCTGCTTGTTCCTATGCAGAGCATCTCCACACCTAATACACAGCGATAAAATGTCTTAAGGCACTACAAGGATTGAGGTATTGATAACTCCAAGGAGTGATAAAGTCAGACGGTTGCGGTCTGGTGGGAGGAAGTGCACTCAGTGACGGTATCTGACGTGATATTTGGTGTCTTACATGAACTTAAATGCACCGCACAAATACCCGAATGTAGCAAAGTTAGCCCAAGTTCAAGAATGCTACCTGTTGGATAGCATAAAATGTTCATCATCATTATCTCTTATTTGCCTTATTTTAACAATAAAAATATTTAATTACAGCGATAACAGTTAGAAGGCAACGAGACCTAAGAAGCCACCGGGCTTATGGGAGAGCCACCTCACTTACAATAATAAATCAAGTAAAGAAAAAGTGCTGCGAATTTGCGGCTTGGCCAATTCAGTGCTTATTTAAGTAGAAACTCTTGCAATTTCGTCTTAAAGCAGAGAAAGTTTACCGAACGAGTGACTGAAATAGGGAGAGAGTTCCAAATTTTAGGACCTTGGTAGAGAATTGTAAATTGCTTGAGATTTGTACAGCACAGATGCGTTCGATAATTACTAGCTGTTCTGGTAACATAGCTGTGAATTTGGCTATTCCTTACAAAAAGATTGAGAAGCAATGGGGGCAATAAGTTATTTTTTTAAATAGAACATAAATTTGGCGACTTCAAAGGTATTGACTTGGAAAATATCTAAAATTCCTAGCTTGGAGAATAAAGGAGCAGAATGGGCTCGATAGTCTGAGTTGGTGATAGCCCGCACCGCTCGCTTTTTTCAAATAATAAATTCTATTTAGGTTAGATACGTATGTGGACGACCAGACGGAGTTACAGTAGACGATATAAGGATAAAAAAAGATGTAGTACAAAGTGAGTTTGGTTGTAGAGGATAGGGAAAAGCGAGACCTAAATATAATACCTATCGATTTAGCGATTTGTTTACATACATAGCTGATATGGTGTTTGCAGGGGAGATGATCGTCAATATAGACCCCAAGAAACTTAGTTACATTAGGTTGTTGTAGGGTTTGCATGGGAATTTTGGTGATCCAAAAACTAGAAAACGCAGTAAAAACACATGGGGACAAGGGAACTTTATAATTATTTCAAACTTCTATATGGCGATTGCCCATCCAAGGCCTCACTTTTTATTTTGCACGAAGAAGATTCTTGCTCACTCGTTAGCTCTTGTAATGCACGTAACTTCGGTTGAGTTGCTTAATCATTCGAGTCTTGCATTATACACAAAAAGTGCTTCTTGACTGATTTTTATGTCTCGGTTTGTTGTTTGCCTGGCTATACACAATAGCATTACCTCTTGATAAACTCTTTGAAACAGAGTCTTAGTCTGTGATGGTGTCTCGTGGTCATTGGCGTTTCTGCGCCATCTTCAGAGTCCTTATCGTGACACAAGAACACCAAAGCAATCTCTAGAGGACCCTGTAAATACAGCACATCACCCAAGCGAC